AGCAATACTGAAGATCTGTTAAGCATCATATTAAAGAAACTATGTCTCTTTTGCAGCCAATATCAAATTCTGTAAAACTGTGCAGGAATTATGAATATGTCATGTATTTCCTATCTGTGAAATTTAAACGTTAGCAGTGTCCTAATATTCAAATTAAGCAAGGAAACCTGTTTACTTGCTAGACTTCCCTGTCAGACACTATTGAGTGACAAACTGGCCTTTTTTCCCTTTTTGGTAATAACATACATAAAATGAGCTGTAAAGGGTACATGAGCATTTGTCTACATCAATAACCCACGTACGACCATTCGGTACAATGGTATGAAAATCAGACTATAACTTACTGGCTCTTTAGCTAGTAAGTCGATTCGACAACTAATAGTCGTTATTTTCCCACTTAAAGACATTTTCAAGCCCCCCTTTTTTTAAGGGAAGTTCTAAATTAGTATTATCTTTCAAATGCTGTTGGAATTTAACCTTTTAATTTTTTAGCCTGCAAATGGGACAGAGTACTTTTAAATAATGTTTTTTAAGTTCATGAAAATTTCTTCAAAAGAATTGCACGGTTTCACGTACAATTCCATATTTCATTTATTTTTTTTAATTGAGTTACGCTTTTTTTTTTTTTAGCAAAGTGCTCTTATTATCTTGTATTTGTATACAGCATACAACGACATAAGTTGTTAACATATTCTTTGTTAAATGTTATGTGTAATTTCGATTAGGCTTGCTATCAAATATATTACATAAGGCGAAGTTTTCCCAACTATATACGTATTTTCATATTCTCGAGTGGGGGGGGGGGCGTGGGTCGATTAAAGAGGGATTTCTGATTTCGTATCAGGCGCAATCAACAAAGAATTTTTCGGTAGGTCGTCACTCCCTTAAAGTTCTATTTTTCTCCATGTCTCATCACATTATTATTATCATTTTTTTGTCGTAGTAGAAGTCAAGGGCGTCAATCCCGGGGGACAGGGGGACGCGTCCCCCCACAATTTTTTTAAAGGGGGGGGGGGGCGGGACATCATATCAAATGTCCCCCTGTTTTGTCAGAAAAGAAGAGGGACCACCAGGGAGCAACGATTTTGTATACAAAATCTCACGAACAGGCACCAAAAAAAAAATAAATAGTGCCTCTTACCCCCTCCCCACCCTTACTTAATAACTGGCTGGCTGATTCGCCACTAAATATTTCCTCTCGAATTGGGCCCCCCAAACAAATTAAATTGTGCTCTAACACCCCCCCCCCCCCCCCCCCCCCCCCCCCCCCCCCCGGCTTATTCACTGGCTGGCTGGTTCGCCGCTAAATATTTCCTAACGAATTAGGCAACAACAAAAAAAGTTATTGTGTCACTCCCATGCTCAAGCTCGGATTGACGCGATTGGTTGAAGTAGTAGTAGTAGAAGTACTTTCATAAAGTATTACGAATAGCTAAAGAGGAAAAACCCTCTTGAGTCTGACATTTTTGAAAGAATTGAGTTTTAAAAAGTCTGGGTTAAAATAAAATGGGAAAGTGGTCCATTACTCGCAGAGCAATAAAAGATTTAGCCAGTATGAAGAACCCAAACCAATAGTGATTACAAGTTTTTAAATGTATAACTTTCTCATTTTTTCCCGAATTCCTTTAAACTTTCAACAGTCTCCTTCTCTGATTTTTCTGCTTTCTTCTAGTCTAAAGTAGTTTACCATCACGGCTGGATTCCCGTTATTGACCTCTGACCAATTGTTACCGCAGCATAGTCGTGCAACCTTTAAATGGGTTGGGGCTTGAATATGGAATTCTCTTCAAACGACTTGAGATATTGTACACCTGATGTTGAACTAGGTTAAAGAATCTTCTTGCCAAATACATGGAATGAATTACTTATCTGCAAACTTTACCTGATTATTTTTCTGATACCGCTATGATTCCGTTTTCTGTTCTCTCTCTCGCTCTGTGTCCTTGTCTATCTCTCCCTTTTACTTCACTCTCTCTGTCTCTCTTTCTGTTCTTCTCTATCTCTCCCTTTTCCTTCTCCCTCTCTCTCTCTTTCTCTCTGTTCCATTCTACTCTCCCCTTTCTCTCTCTCTTTCTTTCTTATCATTTTGTTCTTTTCCCTCCCTCTTTCGTGACCAAAGTGTAGTAATAAAATATTGCATGTGTCTTTTTGTGTACGTGTGTATGTGCGAGCTTGTGTGCGTGTGCATAATGGGCGGATGGACCGCATGCGTGTTACCAAAATGTCCGGTAAAGGAGTACTTTTTCGTGCGACAAAGTCCGGCCCGAGAATTGTAAAAAATGGGTGTATTTGACTTTTCACCCGGAGATTTCTTTAAAAAGGGGGTGTTTTTCATTTTTTTCTCTCATCTCTTTGGACTCCTGAGAAATTATTTCGAATTTAGGGGGGTACATTGAGCATTTTTCCGTATTTAGGGGTTCGGAAATGTTGGCAGTCCTCACATAGGGGGTGCTTTCAAAAAGAGGGAACGAACATACGCGTACCCTAAATAACAATGAGTGGGGGGGGGGGCGGGATAGAATGTTAGGCCTATTCATACGTATGTATTTTTCTCATAGATATTATATTAACCCTCCCAACGTTCGTCGCGTATATATCATTTACGCTTCATAAAGAATTTTTACAATGTTATATGTATAACCTTTTTTTTATATAGTTCGTCAAATTACGTGTAATACACAAGGTTATAAAACTACACAAAGTTCAATGTCTTTTTTTTCATTTTAATTTCATTTTGATTTTTTCATTTCCAACAAAATACAATACATTTAATGAATACAGTGTAAAATGTATACAAAACATAGTTACATTTGTAAAAAACAAATCTTAATAGTAGTTTATACATTTGAGGAAGACAAAAATTGAATTTCTAAATTCGAGGAAATGGAGAGATCCACTGAAAAGCAGAGCTTGTAAATTGTGGACCCCTTTTATTGACGATGCCTTGTAATTAAATATCACTGACATTTTCCAAGTAAATGAAATGAATAATGATGTTATATGCGTATATTGCTGTTCCTGAAAGGATTAATTTATTATCCATATTTAATTTTTAAAAATAGGAGAATATCACATGGTCGATTAAACTGGGTTTAAAAATAAGTTGTTTTCTACCGTTTTCTACATATACTGGCATGCATAATTTCGGAAGACACTCATTTTTTCGAAAGTTCGATTATCCTATAGGTTCATTATTCCTAATAAGCTCGTAAATACGAAACACGAATTTCCAAAAATGGAGGGGGGGGGGGCGTTCGTAATGAATAAGCTTCATAGTTTCAAAAGTCAAATAGGTTTCGTTATTCCGGAAAATGAGAAGAGGCATATTAAAGGATCTATGCCATTTGCGGAACGGAGAACCTTTGGAATTGTTCACCACCGGACCTTCGAAATCAACAACCTTCTGAACAAAGAACCTTCGGAATTATGCCCAAGGGGGGGGGGGGGGGGGGGGGGGTAAGAGGACACTTTTTTTTTTTTTGGTAGTCCAAAAAAATAATCGCAACCGATTCAGCCAACCGAAAAGTCGCTCAGTGGGGGGGGGGGGGGGGGGGGGGGGAGAGAAGAGGACACTTTTTTTTTTTTTGGGGTAGTCCAAAAAAAAATCGCAACGACTCAGCCAACCGAAAAGTCGCTCAGTGGGGGGGGGGGGGGGGGGGGGGGGGGGGGGGGGGGGGGTAAGAGGACACTTTTTTTTTTTTTTGGTATCGAAATTTGAAAATTTGACATTTTGCTCCGTTGGGGGGGGGGGGTAAGGTCATCTTTTCGAGGTCGGCCATGGGATTTTTTTTTTTTTTTTTTTTTTTTTATTTAAAAAAAAAAAAAAAAAAGGGGGGGGGTTAACCCCCCAAACCACCCCCCCCCCCCTGTGTACGCGCCTGAGTAGTAGTAGTGTGACCATCTGGAATAACGGTAAATGATGTACACACATGTATATTGCGTAGATTTTCAGTTAAAACTACTGTCACAATCTTCACTGCGTCCCAATTCGTTCGCAAAAGGAATACCAAAAACAAAGTTTAACATGTTTAATAATAACCACAAACGTAGGCACAAGGGATGGAGAAATGGTAGTAAAATCTCGAATAATAATTAACATAATTCAATTTGTTCACAATCTTTATGATCACCCAAATACATTCACATTTACAAACATTCTTTTCGCATAACTCTGAAATAGCTTCTTTTCAACATCATATAAGTGATGGTATTTGTGTTTCATTTGGAGCTAGGGTGCCAGGAAAGGTTTTTTTTGCAATCGTCATTGCCTTGTTTTCGTTCACATTCTTCCCCATTAATATTCTTCTTCTTCCTTGTTATCGTCAGGAAATCGCATTCGTTTTGCACCTAGTGTTACGTAATTAGCGCGTTCAAGTTAATGCGTGCAGTACATTGCGCGCAGATGAAAATGATGTCACACTGACCGCAATGAAGTGCCCTTTCGAATGATATCAAGTATGGTATATGTTCACACAAAAAAACTGTATTTTAGACACCATATTATACTGTTTATGATTGTGTTAGTACAGACGACCGTTAGTGCCACATCGCCCGTCATTGCACGCATATCTTTGTGCCACGATTGCAGGTCTAGTTTTTAATCGTTCTCGTTTGTAACAATTAAATACATCATTACTGTATTTCCATGAAACAATATTGTTTATTTGTTAAGTCAATCTGCACATGAATGTAATGTGCTTCTCCAGTTCAATCATGCCATGTTGTAAAACTGTTTTGTAATACATACACGATCGAGTTTGGCTGCGTGCTAGCTTTGCACAAACAAAAGGGACTTTTAGATTTGCGTGGACTGATACGTGTGACATGACGTCCAATCAAGGCAGTGCATTAAAAGGACGTCGATCGTAGCAATCCACGTTGTCGTTGTGCAAATCTAAAAGTCCGTAATATTTGGTAATTCCACCACGTCCAGTGTATATACGTAGGGCTACGTCATGCATATGGCAGCAGTTGAGTGTAGTCTTTAATGATCTACCTAATTATTTAGGTAAGGAAGTTTCGTCGCCAGTGAATTCACGCACAGTCGAAATGAGCGTCACCTTGCAGTCACTGCCCTCACCAGTAACAACAGCTGCAGTTCCACTGGGTGATACCGCTAGGAGAAGTCTCGAACAACCATGCGCTTCTCCTTGAAAGAGGGTATCCAACGGGTCTCCATTCAAATAGAACCTTTGCAAAGTTATCAACCCCGCTTCGTTCTTCCAGAGGGCATAGAGTATATTGTTGTTGTCGCATCCGATGGCAACTTCTTTCCATTCAGGACGGGTGATGGTCTTCAGAAGCTTTCCACTCCAGTCAACGATTGAGATCTTTGTTGAACCGTGGGTGAATATGATCTGGTTAGGACTCCGTGGACAAATTGCAATGCGTTGTGGCTCAAGGTTGCTTGTGGGAATCGATTTAGTTACGGGCCCGTCGCTACGTACGACATATATCTTTTTGCTGCTTGGAACACTGCAGTAAATGTTATCTTTAAGGTCCGTAGCCACGTCCGATATGGGTCCAGGTAATTCCCTGACATGGTATATATCACTATGGGCTTGTTTGCCAGGACAGCTTTCATACTTAACCAACACGAACCTTAGGTCTGAGAGCGATGCAAAATCCGAAGAAGACGTATTGGAGTCCATGATTCTTGTCTCTATGCCAAATTTAGTTGCCACTTTTGAGGAAGCTGTAGTTTGTAGTATTGCTAAATACCTAACAATTTGACACAGACGATCCTCTGTTACTTTGTATTTTTTCTGCCATGTTTCGATGTAGTACTTTGATGTGGTTACAGTTGTGCTAGGTCCTGCAAGGGACGCTAAAATAGCTACTCTCCCATCATGAGTAAATATCATGGCCTTGATGATCACTCCTGGGACCTGCATGCCTATGTCGATGCTCTTTTTCTCACATACCTCACGGTTGGTGAACAAATTAGCTTCAATTGGAGACCCGTTGTCCGTCAATCTGAAATGAAGCTGTCTTTCCTCCATGACTTTCTTGATCGTTTTGCGAATATATTTCTCTGGCGCCTTCGAGAGAAGGCTGTCAAGGGATTCCAGAAGACCGTTATATAAGGTAGCAATAAGACTGTAGTTCTCACCCTGATCTAGCGTCTCTTCCGCCTTCAACTGAATTATCTCTATGATTTTGGTCCGATCTTCTATTATCTTCTGCCATTGACTAAGTGTTTGATTCCGTAATTCGAAGAATTTTTCATTCTTAACTTTCACACAATGGGTGTATTCATCAAAATCGTCTTCAATCTGCTTATCAAGAACATCTTTCTGTTTCTTGGCCAGATTTTCGGCTTTCTCAATCATGGGAATAATGGCCGCACACTGTTCGCCCACTTGAGCCAGTCTTGACATTCGTGATTGTATTTTCTCGCGCATCATCGGGACAAAATCTTCAACCTTTACACACTTATGGTTTTCCTGAAGACGATGTTCATTGATAGAACACACCTGACAGACTGGAATGAGACAAAATGTACAGAACAACTCTTTCTTCTTCCCTCCATGTTTCTCACAAAAGATCCTCCCATCTGGATCATCATTATTCTCCAGATCCATCCCGGCGACAGGTGTTCTGCTTGATATGTCTGCAATGCAGTGGTGCTTATGCTTCTTACTACATGCCATGCACAAAGCTAGCTTGCACTCGGTACAGTTGAAGAAGGGCGATGCCGTATCTGAATCAATGTTACCACAAACCTCACAAAGTTTGTTAATCACTTTCTCCGTCTTCTGCTGTTGCTTTGGCTTCTCTTTCTCCAGTCGTTCTATCAGGGTCATGGCGCGAAAGTCATGCCTCAGGCCTAATATTCCCGCATCGTTGAGAATGGTCTCTTCGTCACATAACGGACATGCAATCTTCCCAATGCTAGACTGTTCTTCCTTATAATATTTCTCCAGGCATTTCTCACAGAAACTGTGAAAACATATGAGCAAACGAGGCTTTTTGAGCTGTTCTAGACAGATGGCGCACTTCACATCTTCACGAAGCAGCGCAAACATATTTGGATCTGCAGATGCCATATTTCTGTATTGGTTATCATTGACAATTCAACTGCTGGAATGTAAAACCCTCGAAGAAGTAGCTGCGAAGTGGCCCAGGCCTTTGTCTTAAAATCGAGGGGCAAAACTTCTGATCTTACGACGATCCCCGAAGTTCAGAAGTTTTGCAAGGTCGGTGATGTGCAATCAAAGCTATCGAGCAGTATAGGTTTAATTTTTGAGAATGCGGATTTTCTGTTGGTTCCCTTCTTCTTCTTACGTTTACAAGAGCAATTTCAAGATAAAACATAATATTGACTTGCAAATTATTATCGAACCTATTAACTGTTATCATACGAAAGAAATAGCTATCCAGTACTACTGCACCCTATAAGAGTCAACATACATAGCTAGAAAATGTGTCAAACTTGGTATCGCTCACTTTCAAATTGTTAGCAGAATATGAAATACCTGCAGAGTCAGTTCAATCGGTGGTAAACTTGTGTAGCCAAGGTTGCCATGTCTTTTGGTGGCGTTACATTAATGTCGTTTCTTCAATGGTGTTCCTCTCTCGATCACCAGATAACGTCTCGAGATGATTTTCAACGATGACTTCAGATTCCCAAGGAACTCATCCAATCATTCACATTTGAGTCAACAGCTAGGTCCTAAACATCTGAAATTAAAAAAACAAGGTAAATTAAGCGCGAAGGTCCTTTGGCAAGACATTAATCTACCCGACTAAGAATAAATGGGTAACTGCTTCACATAAAATTATTAAAAATAGTTTCCTTGAAATGCTAGATCGCCGTAATGGCAGCCATGCTTACCCATAGGAAAGTGAAAAGTATCCCGCAGACCTGCCACAGACCTGCCGCAGATCTGCCGCAGATCTGCCGCAGACTTTTAGTCTGCGGCAAAGAGTATGCCGAAGTATGCGGCAGAAAGAAATTTTGCTGCAGACTTGCCGCATACCAGTATGCCACAGGAACAGTCTGCGGCAGATCTGCGGCAGGATGAAATTTTGCTGCAGACTTGCCGCATACCAGTATGCCACAGGAACAGTCTGCGGCAGATCTGCGGCAGGATGAAATTTTGCTGCAGACTTGCCGCATACTAGTATGCCACAGGAACAGTCTGCGGCAGATCTGCGGCAGGATGAAACTTTGCTCCAGACTTGCCGCATACTAGTATGCCACAGGAACAGTCTGCGGCAGATCTGCGGCAGGATGAAACTTTGCTCCATATTTGCCGCATACTAGTATGCCACAGGAACGGTCTGCGGCAGGGCGAAACTTTGCTCCAGACTTGCCACATACCAGTCCGCCACAGGAACAGTCTGCAGCAGGTCTGCCATAGAAAAGTGGGAAATTATACAGTGTGAAGCAAGGCTATAGGCGGCCATTTTGTAGGACATGCAGTACCATATGAGGTTGCAGGCTGTGTTAATTAGCACTGTGAATTGTCTTTTTAGCTTCTGTCAAACCAAACAATTTGCTAGGGCCAATTGAAACCAATTGTAACCAATCATCTCATGCATATTCAACTATTACTTTACACGTGTGACAGAAAAATACATTTATCATGATTTGTTAAGCAAATTAAGACAATGCACATCATTTTTGTGATTTCTATTTTCCTTTTGCCATTATTAACCAATAGATTATTTTGTCTGATCATGTTACAATTACATTCACGTTTTAGCAATAGATATATTGATTATATCAGGGATATATATGATTACTAACCAAGAAACAATATACATATTTAGTATATATATGTGTACGAGCCTGTGTCACTTTAAATGTTACTCTTGAATACACTTCAAATGATCTATGTGATGGAGTTAATACAATTGAGAATAGAATATACCTAATTGGTAATATTTATATATATTGGTATTACCTAATTGGTAATATCGATATTGCCAATATCGATTATGAAGTATCAATCAGTATGCGGCAGGTCTGCAGCAGGTCTATATGAGATATGAATATTCATGATGAAGAGTCTGCGGCAGGTCTGCAGCAGACTCTTCATCATACTGAAGGAGTATGCGGCAGGTCTGCAGCAAGTCTGCAGCAAGTCTGCGGCAGACCTGCAGCAGACTCTTCATCATACTGAAAGAGTATGCGGCAGGTCTGCAGCAAGTCTGCAGCAAGTCTGCGGCAGACCTGCCGCAGACTCTTCATCATACTGAAAGAGTATGCGGCAGGTCTGCAGCAGACTTGCTGCAGACTTGCTGCAGACCTGCCGCATACTCCTTCAGTATGATGAAGAGTCTGCTGCAGACCTGCCGCAGACTCTTCATCATGAATATTCATATCTCATATAGACCTGCTGCAGACCTGCCGCAGACTCTTCATCATACTGAAAGAGTATGCGGCAAGTCTGCGGCAAGTCTGCGGCAAAACTAATTTGCATGTGAAAAAGATGACTGTCTGCGGCAGGTCTGCTGCAGATCTGCCGCAAGTCTGCCGCAGGAGTATGCGGCAGGCTCATTTCTTTCCTATGGGTACCCATAGGAAAGTGAAAAGTATGCCGCAGATCTGCGGCAGACTTTTAGTCTGCAGCAAAGAGTATGCCGAAGTAGGCAACAGAAAGAAATTTTGCCGCATACCAGTATGCCACAGGAACAGTCTGTGGCAGATCTGCGGCAGGATGGAATTTTGCTGCAGACTTGCCGCATACCAGTATGCATGCCACAGGAACAGTCTGCGGCAGATCTGCGGCAGGATGAAACTTTGCTCCATACTTGCTGCATACCCGTATGCCACAGGAACAGTCTGCGGCAGATCTGCCACAGAAAAGTGGGGAAATTATACAGTCTGCGGCAAGGCTATAGGCGGCCATTTTGGAGGACCATGCAACCAACCATGACGTAGTACCATGAGGTTGCAGGCTGAGCCCAGCATGATCTTGTAAATTCCTGTGTTATAGGCACTAGTCTTTTTAGCTTCTGTCAAACCAAACAATTTTCTTCAAGTAATAACTGGTATCATGAGAGGAATTTGTTATACAAAAAGAGAAAGTTTTGTTGTGCCATGTGATCTTATCTTCAGCCCCACTAACTCACTTTTTTGTTGTAACTCTTGTGTATGTGTGCACAGTAGCACATCTTTGACTCTACTCTGGACTCAATGTATATGCAGTTATTGCATTCTTATACCTCTACCTCTACTTCTGCATTGTGTTAATCCCACATTTGCAGAATTTTTGAAGCAATTCCGCCTGTTCTAGCTGTTTCTACTAATTCAAGGTGCTAGAATGATGCAATATGCATGCCTCTCCAGCATAGCATAATTCCTGCAAGACTGCATACTTAATTGCCACGTCCACTGGGCTGGATATTAAAGAGTATGCCACAGGTCTGCAACAGGTCAATATGGGATATCTTCATGATGAAGAGTCTGTGGCAGGTCTGCAGCAGACTCTTTGTCATAGCCTTGTCTATGAATATTCATGATAAAGAGTATGCGGCAATGGTGCGGCAAGTCTGCGGCAAAACTAATTTGCATGTGAAAAAGATGACTGTCTGCGGCAGGTCTGCTGCAAATCTGCGGCAAGTCTGCCGCAGCGAGTATGCGGCAGGCTCATTTCTTTCCTATGGGTAAGCCGGTGTAATGTAATCGTTGAGCGCCAGGAGTGTAAAGCTTTGGTTTGACAAACATGACTGCCAGTGTGCGCTATACAAGAACCCATTTATCATTATTATTATTACTCACATTACGAGCATTTTTTTCGGTCCGGGAATTTCTGGCCCATTGTATTATTTTTAACGTTTTTTTTTCCTCGAGCCAATTCCACTGTGTATAGAATCTTATTTCTGTCAGTGCCCAATATCATAGATTTCACTTATTGTAAAATACTGATCGATTTAATTATTAAAAATTATATATCTTTTGTAACATTTAGTTGCGGTATATACAAGAAAGGTGAAAGTGTTAAAATTTTGATGAAGAAATTGAACTTTGTGAAATTCGAAAATCGAAAATCGCTAGGGGGGATCCGCATGTTTGTTAGCTCAATTGCGGTTATGTTTGTTGAAGTCATATAGAGAACTATCATTTTTACCTAGGGGCTGATTTATGATTTTTTTTTCTATTATTTTTATGTGCGGGGGGGGGGTTACAGGGAACTGCATATAGCTCCGTTTAGTCTCATTTCACAACGCCCCCTATCGTCAGAGTCAGCAGCCATACATGTTAGCCTATGGACTTTTTTTTTTTTAATCGTTAAAAATTCATTTTTTGTTTAAACGAAAAGCACATCCACCCCGACGTACGTTATCACTAGCTCTTTCATTGGAGCCCTCATGTCTCGTTGACTTTTGAAAGTTCACCCACCGTAATTTTTCAAAATAGGTTGCAAGCTCGCATTGCCTATAATACACATGTGAAACAAGTCGAACTTTGGACTGCCAAGTGATTGTAAGATTATAGGTCAAGCACACGAAGGATAAGAACCATGAATTATCAATTATCACTTCTGCTATGTTCATTATGTCCATTTCATCCAACCCCCCACCGTAAGTTTTCCATTTAGTAAAAGCAAACATTTTGCCGAGTTTAGCAAAAACATGAATATTCATGAACGGTCAGATAATACAGCCTTTTAGTACGTAACGTATAGTGAATGGGAATGGGCGATGATCCGTCCAGGAGGTAGAGGTCAGTGTTTTGTGCTGGCAATGTTCACGCTAGCGAAAATGAGACAATCGGAGCAATATGGATAGTATACTCGTATTTGACCAATTTCCAAAGAAAGTTGCAAAAATAACCATACAAAACCATATATAAATGGAAAGGTTATATATCAAGGACGATTATGATTGTAAAAATTGCCACCATAAACGCTAATTAGCATTACATTATGCAAATTAGCCAATATTTTCAAATCTTAAGCTCTACTGAATACTATTCACACTAGAAATATATTTCTAGGGCGTCGAAATATCAACATTTTGTTTTGTAAATCTTTTTTTAATGATCTTATGACTTAATTTCTTTTGTTTTTTATTGTTTCGGAGCTAATTATCTATTCATGACATTATTATAAGAAAATTAAAACATTCAATGGAATTATAAATAGATCACCTCCTAGAAACACGTTTCATCAACAAACATGCAAAGTTTGAACATAAACAGACATCCTACTCTTGAGTTATCCCTATTTGGAATTCGGACAATCAA